CCATCTACCTGAATCCTCTTGCAAAGGCTTATGTCACAACTCGATCAGTGGACTGTGGTCCAGCAGTGCCTTCACCAGCTTAAGACAATCCAGACTGTCTGCATCCTAACTCTAACCCGTACCTCTACCCCCCACAGCCCCTATCCTAACCCTAACCCGTACCTCTACCCCCCGCCTTATAATGCCTTATATATGGACAAAGTTTTAAAATAGGTCGTTCATTGAAGGTGCGCCTTATAGTGCGGAAAATATGGTAGTCGCTAGAAGGTTACAAGGCTAGAAGGCTAGAAGGTTAGTGGCAGCTCTACTCACCAAACAATGTGCGGAAAAGAGGAGCTTCTCCTTATGGAGGCTCACTGTTTGGGGGGCTGAGGTCAGAGGTCACAGCTGAGTGCTGGAGGCAGAAAGAAGAGGAAGACCAAAGGCAGAAGCAGCAGAGTTTAAAGCGGAGAGCAAACGTCGGAGAGGCTCCCGAAGAGAGACGGACGGGTCGGAACGGCTGGTTCCCAGAAGGCCGCTGTAAGGCCGGAAACCTTCAGGGACGGTTTGGAGGGGGGCCACCGGGGACAAGGGCGCTTTAAGAACGGCCCACTCACCTCCCAAATAACACACTTACAGTGGGGGAAATAAGTATTTGAGCCCTTGCTGATTTTGCAGGTTTACCCATTTACAAAGAATGCTTATTTTTCCTCATAAGATGGTTATCAGTTTTTATAAATTCATATGATGTGATTTTCTGGAATTTTCTTTGGGATTCTGTCTTTCACTGTTAGAATGTACATATGATTAAAGTTATAGATCGTTGCATTCTTTGTAAGTGGGCAAACCTGCAAAATCAGCAAGGGCTCAAATACTTATTTCCCCCACTGTAAATACCACATGGCCACATTTCACCCGTTCCCTCTAACCAGCGGTTGATCTAAGAGCTGGGGCTGTTTTCTGTTTGTTTTGTCGCCCCCTGGTGGCTGATGGGGTACTCTACAGGCAGAATGCAGCAGGATAACGTGTATTCAGACACTCACCAAACACTCGGAGAGAGAAGCTGTAAACAGGCCCCATGTCAAAGTTGATGTTGTAATCTCCTGAGTCGCTGATCTGCAGGTCTGTGATGGTAAAGAGTCCAGTTTGTTTGTTCCAGTGGACTTTGTCCACATAGGAGTGATCTTCTATCCCAAATTCTCCTTTTCTTACTAAAGCTATGATTCTTCCATTTATTGACAGAAACCCATTCTGTAGGACAGAGTCTGGCAGTGTGATGTTTCCTCCAACAACTCTCAGCTCCTCCGTCTTATGTCCCGCAGCTGCAGAAAGTCCTGAAACATCAGAGAGCAGCAGTCAGCCTCAGACACATCTGTAACATCTGGCCTGTGTCTGGGGGCTGCTAGGTTGTCTGGGCAGGTGTGGCTGAACAGATCCAATTTCAACAAACACAAGGTTTCCAAAGAGCTGCACAAAAAGACATACAGAATAAATAGAAAATAGATAAAAATAAATAAAAGCATTGCCCGCACAGGATAAAAATATGCACGTATATACATAAAATCAACGCTATACATGGTGTCAAAAGCCAACAAAAAGAGGTGGGTCTTAAGAAGAGTTTTAAAATGAGAGAGAGGTGGTCTGTCTCATGTGCAGTGGCAATCCATCCCAAAGTTTTGGAGCTGAACGGAAAACGCTCGCCCTCTGAGCTGAAGCCTGGCTTTAGGGTCAGGAGCAGCTCAGAGAGGTAAAGTGGGGCAAGGCCATTCAAGGCTTTAAAAGTAAATAAAAGAATTTTTAAATGAATCCTAAAGTGGATGGGCAGCCAGTGGAGGGAAGCTAAAGCTGGTGAAATGTGCTCATACTTTCGTGTGCCAGTTAAAAGATGTGCAGCAGCGTTTTGTACCAGTTGAAGATGGGCAATTGAAGACCCACGAACCCCCACATAAAGTGCATTACAGTAATCCAGCCGAGTGGTCACAAAGGCGTGGAATACTGTCTCAAAGTGCTGTCTCTGAAGGACTGGTTGGATCTCAGCCAGCTGCCTTAACTGGAAAAAACTAGATTTCAGTACAGCTTTTATCTGGCTGTCAAGTTTGAGGTCTGAGTCTACTTTTACCCCGAGATTTTTTACAATTGGTTTGCAATATTGCACTAAAGAACCCAGATCAACTGGGGGGGGGGTCACAGACGTGCCACCAAAGACCATGATTTCTGTCTTTTCTTCATTAAAATTCAGAAAATTTAAAGACATCCAAGCTTTAAGGTCGTGTAAACACTTCAGCAGTGTGCCAACAGAGTAGGAATCAGCCTTTTCGAGGGGGACATAGATCTGGCTGTCATCCGCATAACAGTGAGAGGAAATGCCATGTTTCCTGAGAATGGAACCGATTGACAGTAGATAGAGAGAAAATAAAAGAGGGCCAAGCACAGAGCCCTGTGGGACCCCACATGAGAGAGGAGCAGTGGAGGACACAGAGTCATCAAGGCTGGTACAGAAAGTCTGATGTGACAGGTAGGACATGAAGCATTCCAGTGCTGAGCCACCGATGCCCACCCACTGCTCCAAACGAGCAATCAGGATTTCATGGTCCACTGTATCACATGCTGCAGTCAAATCTAAAAGTACAAGAACAACACAGTATCCAGAGTCTTTAGCTAAAAAGATGTCATTAAAAACTCTTAAAAGCGCTGATTCTGTTTTAAAACCGGATGGGAAAATCTCAAGAACATTTTGTTAATTTAAAAAGTCCATGAGCAGGGAATAAACAATCTTCTCTAAGATTTTAGAGAAGAAAGGCAATTTAGAGATAGGCCTAAACTTTCACAGAACAGTAGGATCCAGCCCAGGTTTTTTTAATAAAGGCTGCACAACTGCATGTTTAAGATTTACAGGGACTACTCCAGAGGACAGACTGCTATTAATAACTGTGAGACACGATGGCCCAATAGTGGGAAAAACCTCCTTAAAAAAATCGGGACAGGACAGTATCGTCTGGAGACCCAGAGGGCTTCAAGTAACCCACAATCTCCTGCACAAAAGGCAGGGTCACAGGCTCAAACATGTCAAACACAGCAGAGCAGGGGACAAACACAGAAGGATCAGACGCAGGAGGTGAAATAAGTGCTCTGGTAGAAGTGACTTTATCAATGAAGTAGTGAAGAAAGTTCTCTCACACAGCAGGGGAGGCCTCAATTCCAGTCTGTGGTGCATTCAGAGCAGAGTTGATAACTTGAACAGGTCATAAAGAGTCCTTTGGGGCTTCCCCCACACGATCTGCATTAGATTAACCCCCTCTGCCTTCAGGAGAACGGACCAGAACCCGCCAACTACCATCATTTCCATAATTAGAGCTAGAACCTGCAGTCAGACGAGCTCTAAGCCAATCAAAGTTACAAAATGACTCTCCCTCGGGCAAAAAATGAATGTCATAATGCCATAAAACTCAATAACAACACGATGGATTTGCATACAGGCAGAGCACCTGGGAGGTGGGGGCTGTTTTCTGCACCAAACTGCTCCCAAATCCAGAGGTGAGAAGACGGAGATGGGCTCAGGGTTTTCCTCTAAGGTGATTAAAGCTGAGAGGGCAGAATCTAGGGTTGTCACGATACTAAAATTTTCAACTCGATACCGATACTCAGGAAAATACTCGATACTCGATACCATTTTCGATACCACAAGGATAAAAACAAAGACCCCAAAATGTAACTGAATTTTGACAGGTTAATGTCTTTCATATCAAACTGACCTGTTACTGATGTTATCGTGGCTGGTGGCCCGAATTAATTACCCGAATCCTGACCCTAATCCTAACTCTAACCCTGACCCTGCCCCTGACCCTAACCCTAACCCTCCACCCTTCATAATTGTGAGAAACAATTTTTGGGTTAAACTTGTTTGGACTTATTGTACAAACCTATTTAACATACACTATTTTAACATAATATTATGGATAGAGTTTAATTAAGTGTTTGAAAGATTAATTTCACTATTTTTAAATTAATGTCTATATTGCCATGAGGCATTACTATTTTCTTGCCTGGGATTTTCCTTTTGGTGACGTAATCAAAATGGCCGATTTGGATGTGGGCTAAGACGGATATGTACTTGATTAATGGTAGCATGTTATTGTTAGCCATTAGCCACAGCTAGCAATTCAAGGCTAACGTCACGTTAATGATCATAAACAACGTAAATAAATACATAAATAAATCAGAGAGAAGGGGCTCGCGCGGTGGTATGGATACTTTTGAAAATGAGTATCGTATCCGGATACAACATTTTAGTATCCATACTTTTTTAAGTATCGATACTTTTGACCACCCTAGCAGAATCAGGACGGTTCAGTGAGTCTGTGGGGGCTGCAGGCCTCAGTTAGACCCCCCCCCCCAACGGCTAGTAGAGGGGGGGGGGGACATTAGAGAGCTCTGTGATCTATTCTTTATGCATTCCTTTCAGGTCTATCAGGAAAGGGAGTTCCTAGGAAACATTAACCCATCAGGCCTCAGCATGCCTCCTCTGCATTTTTCTTTCGTTCCAGGTCTCTGGATCAGAGCTAACGAGTTTAATAACTAGACTGTAGTTTTATTCATAGACGCTCAGTTGGTTTATATCTAGATTCAAAATGTCTGTTTACAGATTTAATTCATTTGGTTCTGAGGTTCCAAATGACTTATTTACCACATTTGAATTCCACCAATCAGAACCTGATTGGTGGAAAATAGATTTAGAACAGCCATTGGGCTGCTTTTGGGGAGTCAGACCCCGAAGACAAACAACAAAGAGGGAAAGACATAAACAAAAACAGGAAGTTCATAAACTCTAACACGCGGGAAACAGGAACACAGGACATTCAGCCCTAGAAAATGAAGAAGTAAATATAGCAGAAAGCTAACAGCAGGACTCACGGGGTGGGGGGTGGGGGGGGCTTCCGTCGGAAGCCGAGCAGAGCCTCAGTCTGTAGATCTAGAGTTAAGTCTATCTGCCTACATGGAAGTAAAACTCGTATTACAGCCTGTGTTTGCATTTCCATCCAGATAAACATCCTCAAGCTGTGGATCACTTCAGCTGAAAATAGAAGGGGCCGACAAAGAGACATAAAAGACTAATAAAGGAAAATATGAGAAAACTCAATAATAAATGGGTGAATGAAAACAAACAGCTTAAATAAATATTGTGAAAGAAGTAGATTCTATGGGAACATAAATTATTACAGTCACCTATCTATCTATGATTGGAAAATAAAGACAATAAAGAAAT